AGTTTGGCTGACAATTAGCTCGAAGACTTGCTGGACCCTGAGCAGAGGATCCAGTTAAGCTGTGCTCAGACGCCTGCTGCTTAGAAATTGTGAGATAATAAATGTGTGTTGTTTTTGTGGTAATTTGTTACATAGCAATAAATACCTAATACCGAGATGATACATACCTTTTTGTTAAAAGTTGCACGTGTTTTTTTTCGCATTTGCCTTTTTATTTTTCTTTTAGTGTCTTTGCTACCCACAGTTTTTTGTCTAATCTAGTTTATCTGTCTTTTCCAGGATTGTTTTTGGATTTTCAGTTACAGCTAGAAAAGTTTTGCCTACTTCCAGATAATAGAGGAACTTTTACTTTTGCTTTCTTCTGTTACTTGTATGGTTTCATCTTCTATATTTTTTAAAGTTTTTTATTTTAATTCCGGTATAGTTAACATATAGTGTTACATTAGTTTTAGGTGTACATTATAGTGATTCAGCAGTTCTATATATTATTCACTGCTCATCATATAATTGCACCAAAAACCATAAGATACCTAGGAATAAACCTAACCAAAGAGGTAAAGGATCTATACTCTGAAAACTATAGAACACTTATGAAAGAAATTGAGGAAGACATAAGAAATGGAAAAACATTCCATGCTCATGGACTAGAAAAAAAATATTGTTAAAATGTCTGTGCTACCGTAAGCTATCCAGTGCAATCCCTATCAAAATACCATCAGCATTTTTCACAGAGCTGGAACAAATAATCCTAAAATTTGTATGGAACCAGAAAGGACCCTGAATAACCCCAGGAATGTTGAAAAAGAAAACCAAAGCTGGAGGCATCACAATAACAGACCTCAAGCTATATTACAAAGCTATAATCATCAAGACAGTATGGTATTGGCACAAAGACAGATAAATCAATGGAAAAGAATAGAGAATCCAGAAATGGACCCTCAACTCTATGGTCAACTAATCTTTGATAAAGCAGGGAAGAATATCCAATGGAAAAAAGACAGTCTCTTCGACAAGTAGTGTTGGGAAAATTGGACAGTCACATGCAAAAGAAGTAAACTGGACCACTTTCTTACACGATATATATAAAAATAAACTCAAAATGGATGAAAAACCTAAATCTGACCCGGGAATCCATCAAAATCATAAAGGGGAACACAGGCAGCAACCTCTTCCACCTTGGCCGCAACAACTTCTTTCTAGACACGTCTCCAAATGCAAGGGAAACAAAAGCAAGAATGAACTGTTGGGACTTCAAGATAAAAAGCTTTTGCACAGCAAAGGAAACAGTCAACAAAACTAAAAGCAACCTAGAAGTGGAAGATTATATTTGCAATGTCTTACCAGATAAAGGGCTAGTATCCAAAATCTGTAAAGAACTTACCAAACTTAACACCCAAAAAACAAAAAATCCAGTCAAGAAATGGGCAGAAGAAATGAACAGACATTTTCTCCAAGGAAGACATACAAATGGCCAACAGACACTTGATGAAGAAATGTTCAACATCACTTGGCATCAGGGAAATACAAATCAAAATCGCAATGAGAAACCATCTCACACCCAGTTAGAATCGCTAAAATTAACAACTCAGAAAACAGCAGATGTGGAGAAAGGGGAACCTTCTTACGCTGTTGGTGGGAGTGCAAACTGGTGCAGCCACTCTGGAAAACAGTATGGCAGTTCCTCAAAAAGTTAAAAATAGAACTACCCTATGACCCAGCAATGCACTACTAGGTATTTATCCAGAGGATACAAACATAGTGATTCAAAGGGGCATGTGCACCCCAATGTTTATAGCAGCAATGTCCACAATAGCCAAAATATCGAGAGACCTCTGATGTTCATGGACAGATGAGTGGATAAAGAAGATTGGTATATATAGACAATAGAATATTACTCAGCCATCAAAAAGAACAAAATCTTGCCCTTTGCAATGATGTGGATGGAACTAGAGGATATTATGCTAAGTGAAATAAGTCAGAGAAAGACAAATACCATATGATTTCACTCATGTGGAATTTAAGAAAGAAAACAGATGAACATAGGGGGAAGGGAGGGAAAAATAAAATAAGATGAAATCAGAGAGAGAGACAAACCATAAGAGACTCTTGGGATGGGGTAATTGGATGATGGGCGTTAAAGGGGGCACTTGAAGTAATGAGTACTGGGTGTTATATGCAACTGATGAATCACTAAATTCTACCTCTGAAACTAATAGTACAGTATATGTTAATTAAATTGAATTTAAGTAAAAAAATTTTTTAAAAAGAGTCTGTTTCTTGGTTTCTCTTCCCTCCCCCTTTTTTCCTTTGCTTGTTTGTTTCTTCAATTCCACATAGGGGCGAAATCATATGGTATTTGTCTTTCTCTGACTGACTTCACTTAGCATTATACTCTCTAGCTCCATCCATGTTGTTTCAAATGGCAAGATGTCATTTTATGGCTGGATACTCCATTGTATGTATACCACATTTTTTTTTAATCCATTCATCTCTCGATGGACACTTGGGCTGCTTCCATAATTTGGCTATTGTAAATAATGCTGCAGTAGACATAGGGGTGCATGTATCCCTTTGAATTTGTATTTTTGTATTTTTGGGGGGGTAAATGCCCAGTAGTGGGATTACTGGATTGTAGGGTAGTCACGTTTTGAGGAACCTCCATACTGTTTTCCGCAGTTTGCATTCCCACCAACAGTGCATGAGGGTTCCTTTTTCTCTGCATCCTTGCCTGTGTTCTCCAAAACAGTTATTTCTTGTGTTTTTGATTTTAGCCCTTCTGACAGGTGTTAGGTGGTATCTCACTGTTGTTTTGATTTGGATTTCCCTGATGATGCATGATGTTGAGCATGTTTTCCTGTGTCTGTTGGCCATCTGGATGTCTTTGGAGAAATGTCTGTTCATGTCTTCTGCCCATTTTTTAATTGGATTAGTTGGGTTTTTTGGATGTTGAGTTGTATCAGTTCTTTGTATATTTTAGATACTAACCCTTTATTGGATATGTCATTTGCAAATAGCTTTTCCCATTCTGAAGGTCATCTTTTGTTGACTGTTTCCTTCACTGTGCAGACTCTTTTTATTTTGATGGTCCCAATAGTTTATTTTTTCATCTATATTTAAATATCAGGTTCATATCAGATGTGTCTAGGTGAATGGTGTGAGTAGTGGACACCAGTGTATCCTTCAACATACCGCTGAACAGTTGTCCCAAAACCAGTTAGCAAAAAGTCACTCATTTCTTCACTGGCATGTGATGTTATCTATAATCATTTATACTAAATTTCTAAATGTAATTGGGTCTATTTCTCAGTTTTTCATCCTACCCCATTGGTTTTTAGTCTGTGATTGTGTCATGCTGTGCCTGTTAGGTAAAAAACCCTGAAGTTTATTATCCAGTAGGGCTCACCCCTGCTTGTACTTGTTTTTCAGGGTTTGCCTGCCTATTCCCTGATTGTTCATTCTTTCCCAAATGAACTATAATAATCAACTTGTTTAGCTCCAGAAAAAAATCTGTTAGTATTTTGTCATATACGTGTATATGTGTATATATGTGTAGCATGTATAAGTTATCTTAAGGAGAGCTGACTTTTATGATTTGGGGTTTCTCTATTCAAGAGTAAGGTACATCTTTCCATGTGATCAAGTCTTCTTTTGGGGCTTTCAGGAATGTCTTAAGGTTTTCCTCATACATGTTTAAGACATTGCTTGTTAAGTTATGATTAGTATTCTTAAGATTGATATTCATAAATGAGATGTGTGTTTGGGGAGGTTCAGTTTTTGTCAGATTTTGAGATAAGTGTCCTGATTTTATGAAACAGATTTGGAAGATTTCTTTATTTTTATTATTTATGCTCTTTTAGTGGCTTTAGGTAGCATTAGGATTATTAGATCTTTAAAGGACGGGTAGAATTCCCCTGTGAAACTCTCTCTCTGCGTGGTGGTTTGTTTCAGTTGTTGTTTTGAGAAACTCTTAATAGCACTTTTTTTTTTTTTTTTTTTTTAAGAGAGAGCCCAGAGGCAGGTAGAGGGAGAAGTGGGCTCCTTGCTCAGATCGATATAGGACTCAATCTCAGGACCCTGGGATCATGACCTGAGCTGAAGGCAGACGCTTAACCAACTGAGCCACCCCAGGCATCCCATGTTTTGAGAAACTCTTACAATGTTATTTCTTTTGTGATGACTGGTCTGTTCGCATTTCTCTTGGGACCGGGGTTAATTTGAGTAAGTTGTATTTTCCTTAAAAGTTACTCTTGTAGGTTTTCAAATTCTTATGCATGGAATTATATGAAGCTATCTCTTGATTCATAAAATTTGCAGTGATTCAAATTTATCATTAAGAAATCTTAGACTGAGAATGGAAGAATTGGAACTTCTGCTGGCTTACTGAATATTTTGCTTAATAAAGACAGTGTCTAGTGAAACTGTTTCAGCTGGTTAGCTGTCTTCCCCTTCACCTCCTCCTCTTGACAGTGGATGTTTTTTCCCCAGGCTGTGCTCATCTCACATACCGTACTCTTCTCTAAGATTTGTACGTTGCACAGAATCAAGGTCCTGAACCTTGTCTGGAACAGAAATACACTCTGTGTAATTTTTAATTACACAGACAAGTATTTGTTAATTTTTAATACTGGACACTGTGCTTGGTAAACATAATGGGTTTGAAAAGACAGAAATGACTCCTGTTGCTTATGGTATGTATAGTAATGCTTACCCAATAGGCACAGTGTTTATTGGGATATCTCCAGTTCATGCATCTGGAAAGGACTCCTCTATCAGTAACAGTACCTCTCCACAGTGTGAGTGCTGGCATCTCATTTTCCAGCCACCACATTCAGTCTTGTTACTCTTTCCAGCAGTTACTCAGCCACGCAGGACCTCAGGTCCATTGGCCCTGCACAGGTTTTCATCCTGCGTCATTCTTCCACGTCCTCACATTTCTCCTTGCCTGGCTTACATCTGTGGTCTGTCATCCTAATCAGCACATTGCATGAACTTCTCCCCAGACCACTGCTTCTGTACCTCCCTGGTGAAATCCTGACCCTCTGCTTACAAGGCACCTGTCCCTCAGCAGCTACCACACCATGACTGCCTGGTCTCACTGGAAATTCCTTTATACAGCTGGTTAGCCTTTTATTCATTTAACTTTTGAAAAATGTATTACGTTGACATCTAAGTGCTGAAGTTTGGCTTTATTAACTGCTCAAGTTTATGATTGAAAGAATTTGTTCACTAGTTTTGTATTAACTAACCTTAAATGTTCGCTTTGACTCTCCTTTTAAAGACTTTCAGCCTTGGGTATTGAAGCCATGAGTAATTGCCTATGGAAGGGATAGCAAACAGGACAAAGCAGAAAACCTTTGTCTTTGTTAGCATAGATTAGATTAAAATTTCATCTTTTGGTTTTTGTTGGCATGTTTTAACTTCTTAAGTAGTTAAGAACCTGTTATTTTATTAAATAACAGGTATCTAATTGCTTTGTATTTTATTCATATTTGTTAATAACTTCTTGACCCGTCTAAAAACTGATAGTGTCTTTGTTTCTGAAGACTATTATGGTTAATTATATAAAACAAATGATCTGATTTTATAAATTCCTCTCATTTTTATAGGTTCCTTAGTTTAGTATAAGGATTGATTATGTGAAAAATGTTCTCTAAGTAGTTATCATAATATAGCTTGAGGAAAATAATATCTCCCTGATAGAGTTGTTGAGAGTTAATACATTTTACAGTTCAGGAAGCAAGGACTCGATGTTTGGGCTATTGTGGTTAGGATTGGGAGGGGTATTCTGGGAAAAATCTGGCCAGAGTTGACCAAATCCTATGGGTGAGGTCTTGAGAACTTTTTCATTTCGTCCATAGGTCCTGGCAGCCAAGAGGGAACCTAAGAGCATGCAGTGGACAAAATGGAAAGTAGTCCCCTGTTTTTATCACAAAGACCTTTATTTAACTTAGGAAATAGGACAATGAGAGCCTGTTGTTTTTTGTACCTTTTCTAATATTAACTATGACTGTTGTTCTGCCTAGTTTCATATTGAAATAAGGTGGTCATGGTCTTTTTGTATTGCATAAGGTACTGCTTGGCTCAGATGTGACAGCAATACATTTGCTTGTAAATACCCAGCATTTTGCAAACATTGATAACTATTACAGTAATTGATTCATTAATTTCCATGAATATTTATTAAGTGTTTGTTACATGCCAGGCATTGTTGTAAGCTCAGGGTATACTACAGGAAATGAACAGACAAAAGCTCTTGCTAATGAAGCTTACATTCTAGCAGGGGGGATGGATGAGAAATAGTAAGTAATTATGTCCTATGTAGGAAGGTGGAAGTTTCACAGAGTTGGGAAGATCAGAGGTGCTAGTGTTTGGTGGTGGAGTTGCAGTTTTAAATATGGTAGTGTGGAAACTTAACTGAGGAAGTGATATTCGAGCAGAGATTAAACAGAGGTGAAGTTAGCTAGGATGCAAAGTATTCCAGGTAGAGGGAAGAACTGATGCATAATCCCTCAGTGGGAATATGATTGACACATTTGGTGACCCATAAGGAGACCTGTGTCTAGAATGAAATGAATGAGGAGGGAAATACAGAAAATAGGGTCAGAGAGGTAATTCCAGATAAGGTAGGGACGTGTGGGTCATTGTAAGGAACAGATGGTCACATATACCATTCGTATTACATACTAAATTTAGACCTAATGAGAAGGAGGAAAACGTTAACGTTGAATTGTGCTGTATTCTTTCATTCTGTAGATACCGTTCAACAGCTTTTATGTGCCATTCATTGTGCTAAGTGAGGGAATACAGCTAGCTTTTGTTTGTGGAGGTTCTCTTGATCCAGTGCAAATCGCTGTGTTTTGTGTGTTAATCATCGTACTTGATATTCTACATAATTTATATAATTCTGAGTATTTCATTTAATTCTAAGTATCTGGCGAGATAGACAGTATTATTAACCTGGAATACAGTTGATGAAAGTGAGGCTAAGAAAATTTGGTAATTTGTCTAAAGTTGCATAGCCAGTATGTGACAGAATGGGGTTAGAACTTAATTTTGTCTTTTCATTATACCATTGATTCCCAAATCTGGCTGTGCATCACAGTTCACTAGGAAGCTTATTATCAAAGCTATAGATTCCTTAACCTTACCTCTACTCTCATTTATAAGTTTGAACTATAACTGTTGAATCTAGAGTAGGCATTAGGGCAGGTTTAATCTTTGGAAAGTAGAACTGTTTTCTTCAGGTTGCTTTTTTTTAATAACAGATTTTACGATCCTTGGGTTGAAAGAGTCCTATAATTTTATAGTGGAAATCCAGACTTTAGATAGACTGTCTTGCTACATAAGGTAATTGTATTTTCCTCATGAAAAGGCAGAATCTGAAAAAAAAATTACCACACTGAAAGCAATCCAGACCAAAGGTAAAATATCCATTAACATGGGCAAATGAAGTCAGCTATTTTGCTACCATTGATTTATCAAACACTAAGACATTGGCCTGTCGTTTTAATTGTTGAATCTTTTTTTTTTTTTTAATTCAGTGCTATCCACATATCTTCTTTTATTTGGGTCTCTGTTAACGGTATGCCTCGGGGTCCTAAGTAAATAGTTGAGAAGCTCTACTTGGTTGTTGGAAAACAGTTACTGTGAACTTGGTGGATGATTTACAAGTGTACCAAAGGGTCTAACATAGCTGTCCTTCTCTTTCAGGAGATTGAAGATGGCCCTTCAGCTATGCTAGGTCTATAATGGGAAGTGTCACAGTTCGATATTTCTGTTATGGATGCCTTTTTACATCTGCAACCTGGACAGTTTTGCTTTTTATTTATTTCAACTTCAGTGAAGTGACTCAGCCGCTTAAGAATGTGCCCATCAAGGGGTCCGGGCCCCATGGACCATTTCCCAAAAAATTCTATCCCCGTTTCACTCGAGGCCCAAGTCGAGCGTTAGAATCACAGTTCAAAGTAAACAGAATTGATGATATGATAGATAATCATGTTGAAGATCCAGAAAAAGGCAACATGAAATTCTCTTCTGAATTGGGTAAGTGTATTGGACTTCTAGTAGCATATCAGAGTATTTAATCATTGGAAGTTTAAATTCAGTTATTCTTTGAATCACATGTTGCTCAGGGGATTAGAAATGGGTCATTTTCCCCCTCCAATTTATTTTGTTAATGAACTAGCTGAGGTTTTAGGATTTTGTAGCTTCAATGGGGAGTTATATTCTAATTTATCCATTTCTGACTTTAATATTTTATGAGGACTTGGGAGAAAGTAATAAGGTCCAGTGTAGAAAAGAAAGAAAGAAAGACAGCAAAAGAAAATGGAACTTATGGGGGAAGATTTTAATTGTTAGCATTATTTAATAAGGGAAAGAAATGGTCGAAAGGTAATTAGACTATATATAACATATTTTGAAAGCAGAGTTAATTAAAACAGAACATACACTATGAGGTTTAGAGATAAGCTGAAATTATATCTAATAAGAATTCTACTTACAAGAATTGTTAAGATGCTGGAGTATATTAAATATAGGAATTTATAAAATCTTAGTATAAAGGGAAACTTTTTTCTTCAAAAATTATATTCTGGGGGCGCCTGGATGGCTCAGTCGTTAAGCGTCTGCCTTCAGCTTGGGTCATGATCCCAGGGTCCTGGGATCGAGCCCTGCGTCGGGCTCCCTGCTCCGCAGGGAGCCTGCTTCTCCCTCTCCCACTCCCCCTGCTTGTGTTCCTTCTCTCGTTGTGTCTCTGTCAAATAAATAAATTAAATCTTAAAAAAAAAAATTATATTCTGTTCAATTTGGCAGCAAGGATCTACTGTATATACCTTCTGCATACTATAATTTTAGAATCCTGGTTTTAGCAAATTTTAAGGGATAAATGAGCCATTTTGGTTATCTTTAAAACTTAAAGATCTTTAATCTTGTCCTAGAAATCTCAAATAATAAGTAATTTAGAAGTAAGAGATTTTTAGAGATTGAAAAATTCATAAAATATAAAGGAAATGTTAAAACATTTCATTTGATCAGAGTTTCAAAGAAATAAAATCAGTGTCTGGGACTTAATGATTTTCTAATACATGGAGTTGGAAAATATTTAAAATTATATGAGGAAATGGAAACTAATACCTTGATTTTCATAAAATATACCTTCTAATCTTTTTTCAGACTGCGATTTAGACACTTTAGAAGCATTAGTAGGAAAATTTCTAGCTTCTTTATTTATTCTTAGTTACTCTGGTAAAAAACTTTTATAAAGAAGTAACATTGGGTTTACTGTTTTGAATGGACCTTGTATTTGCCTTTGAAAGTAGAGAGAAAATTGTAGATATTCGAAGTGTGACAAACTCAAATTGCTTAGCTGAAAAACTAAATGCTTTATAACAGGTATACAAAAAAACTGTTATAGCTAATAAAAGAATTCAGCTAAATTGCAGGGCAGAAGATCAACACACAAAAACCAGTTGTATTTCTGTACATTAGCAACAAACAGTCTGAAAATAAAACTAAACGATTCCACTTACAATAGTATCAAAAGGAATAAAATACTTAAGAATAAACTTAACCAAGGAGGTGTGAGATTTGTACACTGGAAACTACAAAACTGCTGAAAGAAGTAAAAGTAGACTTAAATAAATGGAAAGACACGTTAGGTTCATGGATTAGAATACTAAATACTGTTAGGGTGCTAGTACTACCCCAAAGCAATCCATAGATTCAGTGCAAACCTTATCAAAATAAGATGGAAAGACTGATTCTAAAATTAATGTGGAATTACAAGAGGCTCTGAATAACCAATACAATCTAGGCAAATTACAAAGGGGAGGGCTCACACTTCCCAATTTCAAAACTCTCTACAAAGCTATAGTAATCAAAACAGTGTGATATTGGCCTAAGGACAGATGTATAGATCACTGGGTAGACTGAGAGTCCAGAAATAAACCCTATGACATTTCTGGCCACTTGATTTTTTAAAAATGTGCCAAGACTATTTAATGGGGGGAAAATAGTCTCTTCAACAAATGCTGTTGGGACAAATAGATATCCACATACAGAGGAGTAAAGTTGAACCCTTATATGTAAAAATTAACCCAGAATGAATTGAAGACCTAAATATAAGAGCCAAAACCTTTATAAAACCCTTTGAAGGAACCCTAGAGATAAATCTTCTTGACCTCGGGTTTGGTAGTGATTTCTTACACCAAAAGTACAAGTTAACAAAAGAAAAAAATAAATTGGACTTCATTGAAATTAAAAACTTTTGTACATCAAAGAAGACAACCAGGAAAGAAAAAAGAAAATCCACAGAATGGGAGAAAATGTTTGCACATCCTGTCTAATGGGGGTCCATTATCCAGAATATATAAAGAACTCTTACAGTACAACAATAAAAAGACAACCCAATTTAAAAATGAGCAAAGAATTTAATAGACACTTTTCCAAAGACAAGCACAAAAGGTGTTCAGCGTAGTTACAGAAATGCAAATCAGAACCACAGTGAGATACCATTTTACATTTGGTAGGATGGTTATAATTTTTTTTTATAAGATTTTATTTATTTATTTGACAGAGACACAGCGAGAGAGGGAACACAAGCAGGGGCAGTGGGCGAGGGAGAAGCAGGCTTCCCGCTGAGCAGGGAGCCCGATGTGGGACTCTATCCCAGGACTCTGGGATCATGACCTGAGCCGAAGGCAGACGCTTAACGACTGAGCCACCCAGGTGCCCAGAATGGTTATAATTTTTTTAAAAAGGAAAATAACAAGTGTTGGCCAGGATACAGAGAAATTGGAACCTTCATTCATTGCTGGTTCCTCAGTAAGTTAAACTTAGAGTTACCATATGATCAGCAATTCCACTCCTGGGTATATACCCAAAAGAATTGCAGGCAGATGTTCAAACAAAAATTTGTACACAAATGTTCATAGCAGCACTATTCTCAATGAACAAAGATGGGGAGAACCCAAATGTCCATCAGTTGATGAAAGGACAAGCAACATGTCTTTCCATACAGGGATTTGCTCAGGCATAGAAAGGAATGAAGTTCTGACACCTATTGTAACAAGGAGGAACCCAGAAAACGTTATGATTAGTGAAAGAAGCAGGACACAAAAGGTCAAATAGTGTGTGATTTCATTTATATGAAATGTCTAGAATAGGCAAATGTGTGGAGACTAGAAGCAGATTAGTGGCTAAGGGGGCTGGGGAGGCAGGAAGGGGAGAGACTTGCTTTAATGGGTATAGAGTTTCATTTGGGTGGGGGTGTGACTAGCTGTGGCTGGATGTGCCGGCTGCACCACACTGTAAATATGCTCGGTGTCACTGAAGGTAAACTGTGTGTTATGTACCTTTTGCCACAATGACAAAAATGGAAAAACCCACTCAACTTCTATAAAGAAAACTTGATTTAGAAGGAATTAATATAAATCAATATAGTAATAGTTAAAAGTATGGTGATTGCTGAATAGGGTCTTATCTTTAAACAGTCAGGGGAAAGAACTTGTAAAGTACAGTTTAGAAAGATTATCAACAGTAAATTTAAAATTAAAAATAGATTTTCTAATTTAATCTGCGTTAATTATAAAGAACCTGAAATAGCTTCTCAGAGGCATGGCTGAATAATACTGTGTCCTTTTATCCATAGTTTACACAGCCAGACACCTGTAAATGCCTGTGATGGTATGGGGAGTTTCTCATAGCTTATCATTTTCTAAAGTGGATACAAATCAATAAACTAATACTAAGCTTGCAGGAGCTTCCAAGTACTAGTTTAATTGAATCATTTTGCTATTTGATATGTTGCTTATATTCCTTTCAAATGCAGTATTAAAATTGCTGTGGTCATACTGAAAAAAATTTTTAAGTTAAAAAATATAGCTCCTCCGGCATGCTAGTTAATTGGCTGTGATTTTATATGAGCAGGGGAAGGACAAAAGTAAGCTGAAGTGATTCCCCCCCCAGTTTTATTGAAATAAAATTGATATATATATAACATTGTATTACTTTAAGGTATATAACATAATGACTTCATATAAGTATATATTGTGAAATTATTACTCTGGTAAGTTTAGTTAATATTGATCATCTCACATAGTTAAAAATGTTTTTTTCTTGGGATGAGAACCTTTAAACTCTACTCTTAGCCACTTCCAAATATATAATACGGTATTATTACCCACCGTTACCATGCTGTGCATTACATCCCCAGAACTTATTTATAACTAGAAGTTTGTACCTTTTAACCAACCTTCACCCAATCTGCACCTTCCCCCACCCCACCTCAGCAACCGCATCTGTTCTCTGTCTCCAGGAGTTCTCTTTTTTTAGATTACACATACAAGTGAGATCATACAGTATTACAGTATTTGTCTTTCTCTATTTTCACTTAAGCATAATGCCCTCAAGGTCCATCCATGTTGTCACAAATGGCAGGCTTTCCCTTTTTTCATAGCTGAATAATATTCCGTGTGTGGGGGGGGGGTGGCACGCCACATTTTATTTATCCATTCACCTATCGATGGATGTAATCTCTTAATATGGAATAATTTTTTTTAAAGATTTTATTTATTTATTAGAGTGAGAGAGAGGGAACACAAGCAGGGGGAGTGGGAGAGGGAGAAGCAGGCTTCCTGCTGAGCAGGGAGCTGGATGCAGGGCTCGATCCCAGGAGCCTGAGATCATGACCTGAACTGAAGGGAGTCACTTAACCAACTGAGCCACCCAGGCGCCCCTGGAATAGTTTTTCATCGAAAGATACATATTAGAAAATAATCCTTTCAGTATCCAGTATGAGCTAGTCCTTTGATTTATTGAATCAAGGAATATTTATTGAGAATTTAGTTTATGCAACGCACTGTCCTAGGTGCTGGCTATCAAGCAATTTTTATTTTATGTTTTGAACATGATCAAAGTCTCTGCTGTCATGGAGTTTGCATCCTCTTATAAAATGTTAATGGAGCTTCATTCTTTTGTATTTAAAAAAGGATGTACTCCATACCAAAAAAACCCAAATCCAATTTAAAAAAATGGGCAGAAGGTGTAAACAGACATTTCTCCAAAGAAGACATCCAGATGGCCAACAGACACATGAAAAGATGTTCAACATCACTCATCATCAGAGAAATGCAAATCAAAACCACAGTGATCTACCACTCACACCTGGGTATCTGTAAAACAGTCAACATCATTAAAGGATCAGGACTATCCTTCCATTCCAAATAAAACAAAACAAAACCTATTCGACTTTCAAAACCCATTGTTTCCCTGAATTGTTTGACCATGAAATCCTTTTTTTCTTTTTAACATCTGTTAATGTCCAGTGGAATTAGATTTCTGTGATGAGACTTTGGGAAATGCTGGGACAAGGGAGTCATTCTGTGAGGAGAGGTTAAAGGTTTGATATGGGAAAGAGAGCGAAAACAGACATTATCCATCTATGTAAAGGTAAGGTTTCTGAATGTTAGAGCAGGAATGTTAAATTGTAATGATTTTGATGGGATCTCCCTGGGGAATTTCTTGCCTTTCTTGACTATGAAACTGATTAAAGTCTGGAATCAGAGACTTTTTGTAGAAAGGCTTATCAATAATCTCTTTTTTAGGGGCAGGGCTCCTATAAAAACTTGCCTGTTGGGGTGCCTGGGTGGCTCAGTCATTGGGCTGTTTGCCTTCCGCTCAGGTCATGATCCCGGAGTCTGGGATCGAGCCCTGCATCGGGCCCCTTGCTCCTTGGGAAGCCTGCTTCTCCTTTTTCCACTCCCCTTGCTTGTGTTCCCTCTCTCATTGTCTCTGTCAAATAAATAAATAAAAAATCTTTAAAAAAACAACAACAAAACTTGCCTGTCATTGGGACCTGTTGCCCATATGGGTTCTATAATCTATTGCTTTTATGGAAAAATAATCATTAAGTCTTTTATTTCTTGGTCCATATGTAAGTTTTTCTCTTGAAAATATTCCTAAGACTATGGCTAGTGAGCAGGTATCATTTATGATTAAGGTATACCTGCTTTTTGAGCTAGACTGACAAAAATTTGACTCTAACTTCAATTTACTTTTTTGAAAATGGAGACAAGTTAGATTTGAGAAACATGGCTGTTTGGTTACAAGGGGTTAAAGTCAGGATTTTCTTAGGATCATAATATAGCAATAACTGTAGCAATCCTTTCCAGATTTAACATACTGACTGTAACTTCAATCTTTTGCAGGTATGATTTTTAATGAACGTGATCAGGAGTTGAGAGACTTGGGCTATCAGAAACATGCCTTCAACATGCTTATCAGTAACCGCTTGGGCTACCACAGGGACGTGCCAGACACCAGGAATGCTGCGTACGTTTCTCAGTAGTTGTTGCTGCTGTGTTTTAAAGACTGCTTTTAGGGCGCCTGGGTGGCTCAGATGGTTAAGCGTCTGCCTTCGGCTCAGGTCATGATCCCAGGGTCCTGGGGTCGAGTCCCGCATCGGGCTCCCTGCTCAGCAGGGAGTCTGCTTCTCCCTCTCCCTCTGCCTCTTCCCCTGCTTGTTCTCTCTCTGTCTCTCCCGCAAATGAATAAATAAAAATCTTAAAAAAAAAAAAAAAAGACTATTAAGACTGCTTTTAGTGGTATTATAGTAAGTCGTGAGGGTGGTGCTAACCAGTGCATTTAGGCTTCATTATCCAGGATACTAGAAAACTTAAGACAGATTTCCACTCCTATGACACTTGAAGCTTGAGATTGTACTCACAGTTCTAGAGCTTACTGTCTCTCCTGAAATTTAAATCATACGGGGAAAGGCAAGAGGTACTAACTGCATATAATTAGATAACCTTCTGAGCATAAATTTGTTTTAAATGTTTATTGTATTTTTGGCAAAGGAATTAAATATCAGTGAAGAATTTCACTCATCTCGCTTTCCTGTCTTCGTCATTTTTGTTGTTTCAAAGACTTTCATTCATATGGTTGGTCAGTCAGTCATTCCACAGACCTTTTTAAGCATCTTTGTTTTCTAGACACTGTATTAGGTCTTGGAAATAAGTAGAGGAAGACATAGTCCCTGGGATCACGGGGCTTAGGGTCTAGCAGGGGAAATAGATAAGGGAATGGGTAATTGCAATAGTACAAGAATGAGGGCTACGGTAGGAACCGGTGATGAAGTGGGGAACCGGAGACCAGAGTGGTAAGGGAAGGCCTCCTAGAGGGTGCTGGCTGAGCGACGCGCAGGGACCACTCCTATGCGAACAGATTGAGGCATTACACTACTCGGAAAGGCTCTGGAACCATTCACTACGGCCATAGTGGAGGAATGTCAGGAGACTGGAGGTAGCCAGGGCCCAGATGTTGGAATGCTTTGTATGCCATGCAAAAGAACATGGAATTCTGGATTTTATTCTTTAAGTTAGTGATTTTTTATTGTTGCTTGAAGCCACCTAACCCTTTTTGTCATTTTTAAAGATATTTATTTAAATGAAATAGAGCACAAGCGGGCAGAGAGGCAGAGGCAGAGGGAGAAGCAGGCTTTCCGCTGAGCAGGGAGCCCGATGTGGGGCTCAATCCCAGGACCCTGCGATCATGACCTGAGCCGAAGGCAGATGCTTAACCGACTGAGCCACCCAGGCGCCCCCATGATCTTGATTTATATACGAGTTTGCTCAAATCTTTTTCTGTTACTGGGCAAGAAATAAAATTTTCAAATACAAAGTTTTATATTTCTGTTTCCTTTTGAATGTTTGTTGTGGAGAAGCAAACATTATATTAACTCATGAATACTGTATTAAAAACTTGTAGTGATTTCATACAAATAACACATTTTTATGTAACCTCTATACCAAAAAAAGAAAAAAAATCATTTTTTAAATGTTAATATAAAGATAAGCAGAATAGCAGGTATTGGAGAGAGAAGTTATTAACAAACTGTCAAACTGTTGAGTATGACACCACAGTGTATTCTTAAGTGCTTTTTAAGAAACTTTTGTTATAATGTAGGAAAGAGGCTGAGCAGGAGGCAATATTTAGTGAATAATGACCTAAAACATTTGAGCCTTTTAAGATGTCACATTTTCTCGTATGTGTCTTTACAGATGTAAAGACAAGTCTTACCCTGTGGACCTGCCAGTCGCTAGTGTTGTTATCTGTTTCTACAACGAAGCCTTGTCTGCCTTGCTCCGTACTGTGCACAGCGTCCTAGACCGCACACCAGCCCAGCTCCTTCATGAAATCATCCTTGTGGACGATGACAGTGACTTCGGTAAGGGATGTTGTAGCTGATACTGTGGGAACTGGGCTGTTGATCGCGGTAGGATTAGCATCAGCTGACAGTTCAGACAGACGGGTAGGACCCTGGTCCCCACAGTTGCAGTAGAGTCAGCAACAAGTAAGTATCTGTTTGTTGATTAGAGGATAATTTTGAGGAAACAGCATTAGCTTTGTGATCTTTTTACAGACTGTGCTATTTTAAGTTTGGCCCTTGAAATTTTTCCCTTGGCTTACGTTCTTAAAAAATGTTTATTTCAAAATAACTATAGATTAGTAACAGTGGGTTACAAAGAGGTCCTGTTACCCCTTCACCTAGTCTCCCCCATTGGTATAGTTAATGTAGTTATAGTGCAACATCAAAACCAGGAATTTGACGTCGGTACAGTGTGTGTGTACAGTTCTGTGTCATTTTATCCTGTGTGTACGTTCCTGTAACCACCATTGTGATCACGATAAAGACTACTCCGCGACCGCAAAAATCTCCCTCGTGCTACCTTCTAATACATCCACCTCCCTGACCCACTCCATCCCTAATCCCTGACAGCCTTAATCTCTGTGATTTTGTTTCTTTCTCTGTGATTTTGTCATTTTAAGAATGGTTGCATAAATGGAATCATACAATATGTGACCTTTCAACATTGGCTTTTTTCTCTTGGTGTAATGCCTTGGGCTTATATTTATCTAATGAGTCTGTTATACTGACTATCCCCAGATAAAAGTGGATTGCATTGTGACAGCTCTTAGATGATCTCTGAATGCCAGTGTTTTATGATTCAGTATATATATTATACACTTTTAAAAAATTTATTGAAATATAATCGACACACCATTTTATATTTGTTTTAGTTGTACAACATATTGATTCAACAGTTCTGTACATTACTTAGTGCTCACCACAATAAGGATAGTCATCATCTGTCACCATTACAGTGTTATTACAATATTATTGACTGTATTCCCTCTGCTGTATTTTTTCTTCTCTGCGACTTATTTTGTTAACTGGAAATTTGTACTTTATATACCTTTCTTCAGTTCAACATAGACTTCTTAAAAATGGTTTCGTGTACACACAGAAGACTATTTATGCTACTCATTTGGCTCTAAGCTACCTTAAGAGATAGGTTGTATCCTCATTTCATAAAGGAGGAAATATTAAGTAATTTGCTTGAGGTCCCATAGCTGTTAAGTGGTAGAGCTGAAATTAGACCCCTGGTCCACATAGTTCTAAGCCTTCTGCTCTTTTCATTACAGCAAGCTGCAGAAGTACATTAATAAATTGTATGCATGATAAATTGTATGCCAGTTATAGATTTTTCATTACTCAGGAGCTTATTAGCAACTCTTACCAACAACGGAATTGGTCTACCAGTTGAATATTTAAAGCAAGGAAATGTATACTGAGCCCAGTGGGAACAAAATGCTTAAACCTTGGCAAATACTGAAATAGCACAAGAGAAATTTAGAAAGGTTAATAGAAAACAAAACTTAATTTCAAAAATGAATAATTAAAAAGCCGAGATTGTGAGTCTGCATCAAATAGAAGACTGGCTAAGTACTAAATTGTAGAATTTACGGTGTTGAAATTTTTTTTAATCTGTATTTTTGTTTTTCAGTTTATAGCTATTTTTTAAAGTGAAAACTCATGATAACTTAGAATGGTTTATCTACTAACAATGGAAAGAATTACTTATATGATCTTTGAAGTTATAAAATTTAAAGGTAAATGAGCTAGAATTTTTAAAAAATATTTAGTGCCCTTGGAAGGTACTAAATTAATAAAAGGACATATTTACTGCTGTTATTATATAATTCTTGGTAGGGGCAATAGAAGTTGTTACAACTGTTCTGAAATGGAGTAACAGTAAATTACTTTGAAACAAAAGACATAACCTCATTTTTTTGGTTTTAAATCTGATTGAATGCAGTTAGCTGAACATTTAGTCACTCAAGGTAAGTATTCTTCTTGGCTAGTGTTTCAACTCTTACCCTTCATTTCTTTACTTTTTCTTCCTTACAAGATAAGTTATAATACTTTTTTTTAAATAAAGCAGAAGATTCTATAATATTTGATAATTTGTCGTTGTAAGCATCAGATACAATCTTAGAGTAGCTATAAAAAAAAGTCTTTGTATATGTCTCCTGTGGTTTTATTATGGGACTCTTTATTTTCAGATGATTTGAAAGGAGAACTAGAGGAATATGTCCAAAAATATCTCCCTGGAAAAATTAAAGTAATAAGAAACCCAAACCGTGAGGGATTGATTCGAGGAAGGATGATTGGAGCAACCCACGCTACAGGTATAACTTCCTGCTGCTCTTCTCAGTGGGTGTTGGGTAACAAGGGCTTTGTCCTTGGAGTCTTTCCTGATTGTGCAGAGATCTGTGAAAAGTGATATGAAGCTTGTTCACTTTGGGAAGGGTTTCTTTATAACTCCACCCCAGCTGTCCCAAAACAGACTCCAAGGAGGTGAGCTCTAGAGTCCAAGCTGGTCTGTTTTCATAGTGGCCTTTATTGCGAATTATTGTTCCTCATGTAGGTCTGTATCTTGCTTATATAAGGAGAAGAGTAAAACAAAATGTAACTGAACTTTGTAATTTTTTTTTACTTTTACTTTTAATTTTTTTCTTAAAGATTTATTTATTTGAGAGAGTGAGCGAGCATGCAGTGGGAAGGGGCGGAGGGAGAAGGAAGAGAGAATCTGCAGCAGACTCCATACTGAGTACAGAACCTGACACAGGTTTCAGTCCCATGACCCTGAGATCATGACCTGAGCTGAAATCAAGAGTCAGATGGAGCCACGTCAACAGACGGAGCCACCCAGGTGCCCCTACAATTTTTTTTTAATACAAAATTTAAAATATGTGTACTCAGACTGTTTGAGTTATGCCAATAATTCTCAAGTACAAATACATACCTCTGGTGATAATGCATCATGATTTTTGTTGGATAAATGGACATAATGTTGAAAATTGAGTTACAGGGGCACCTGGCTGGCTGAGTCAGTAGAGTGTGCGACTCTTGATCTCTGGGGTTGTAAGTTCAAGCCCCATGCTGGTGTGGAGATTACTTAAAAAATAAAATCTTTAAAAAATAAAATAAAAATAAAAATTGATTTATAAAACTATAAAGGTACTTTCTTTAAAATTCTCTCTCAGTCCTTCTGATTCCGTCAAAGATAAAGCCCCCATTACAAATATATCTTTAAAACATTTCCAGTGTATACTCATCTCCCCTTAGAAAAAGAAAGATCAGGGGGGCGCCTGGGTGGCTCAGTTGGTTAAACGGCTGCCTTTGGCTCCGGGGCATTGGGCTCCCTGCTCAGCAGGGAGTCTTCTCCCTCTCCCTCTGCCCCTCACCCCTCCTTGTGCTTTCTCTTTCTTGCTCTCTCTCAAATAAAATCTTTAAAAAAAAAACAGGTATCAAATTTAGTCTTTTGCAGAAAATATATCTGGTCAGTCCTCCGTTACATGACATTGAATCCATTCTTATTTCTTTTTGCGGTTGCCTCTGTAAAGTTAGTGATCCTGATTTTCATTTATGATCTTGATAAAATTTTCCTTTTAAAATTTAAGTTAAATGAATCACTTTTAAAATATTAGGTGTATAATAGTGCAGGTGGTGTATGGTTATGGCAAAAAAAAACCATGAAGGTAATTTGAGAATTCTAGAACTTGAGTTGGGGGCTTGTAGTGACATCTCCCACCTTCCCTGTCTGCCCCTTGCCTCAAGATAACTGGTCACGAGGGTTTACCGTGGCTGCACTGCTTTGTCTACCACCCTCCTGCACACCTGCTGGCCTACTTGCTGAGTGTAAGCGGGACTTCGTGTTTTAGTCTTTCTTCCCTCCTTTCTCTTAAAGCCACAACAAACTGAAGTAATTCACAGGCATTCAGTCTGCAGTCATACGTAGAATGAATTCAAGGCCTATGATTTTTTCTTTAGAATTCTAGTAAAATAAGTACCTAATGACTTGGCTGAGTTGAGATAAAGAGAAAATTGTGGGGAATGGCAAGATTATGCCATTCAAAATGTACTGTTACATTATTACTGAAAGTTTGTATTTTTCAGATAACAATAGTTTTTTTCTTTATGGTCTTTTGGTCCTCGTTCAAATGTAGTTTAGGGTTTGTCAGAAGCAACTGAGGGTTGCAGAAGGGGAGGGGGTGGGGGGATGGGGTAACTGGGTGATGGGCTTTAAGGAGGGCATGTGATGTGGTGAGCACCGGGTGTGTTATACGCACCTGATGAATCATTGAACACTACATCTGAAATGCTGTATGTTGGCTAGTCAAATTGAAATAAATTTTAAAAAATGAAAAAAGCAAGCCAGTTTTGGGGAAGTCAGCCTCAGGTTCAGCGTAACCAGGTATAATCTTACTTCCTTTAGTTAAATCAAAAAAGTAACATTTTTAGAATTAAGCTATGAATATATTTTCTCCCCAAAGGAACCTTGATTGAATTGACTTCACTTCACATTGAATAGTGTACAGGCTGAGCATTTTGCCTTTCTGTATTAAAGGACATCTGGTGAGCTTTCTTGACTGGGGTATTTCTGCTATCATTAGTTGAAGTAGGATGTATCTTATTAAAATAGGTGCTTTTAAGGAATTCATATAAAATCTATATTGATGCATTTCATGGGTAAACCTTTAGAAGAAGAATAATGCCAACTGATGATGAGATTCTGAGTTTCTCGTTTGCTAAGAATCACCATAAAGTTATCATAGAAATTTGGAATTATCAAAGAAACCTGCACTTCTGCTCACGTTTATCAAAGGAGTTAAAAATGTTGGATAAAATCATTATGATTTTTATTTTACTAGCTAGAAGAAAAGATATCCCATTGGCTCATGAGAGCCACTACAGCCAACCAGGTTGGGGAATTAGGAAGGAAAGGCGGCAAATGGAAGAAGAAATGAGCATGTGACCATTGAGTGGTGACTTCAGAGGACAGGGGGGCCCGTGTCCCTGGCATGGCGGAAGGGGTACATGGTTCTCGCACTCCTGAGAGAACTGCTCTGTTGTGGCGATGGTTGATAATGTGGTCCGGTTTCTGAGTCACCAGTGAAACAGTTATGTTCTCTAGCCTCTGTTCACTAAGGCAGGGAAATGTAACCTAAATTTAGAATTTTTTTTTTAGAGAAGGGGGAGGGGCAGAGGGAGAGGGAGAGAGAGAATCAGACTCCCTGCTGCCGAGCGCAGAGCCCAACTCGAGGCTCGATTCCCAACCCCAAGATCGTGACCTGAGGCGAAACCAAGAGTCGGACGCTTAACCGACTGCGCTACCCAGGCACCCCCAAATTTAGAAATATTTTGATGGCGGTAAGTGTAATACTGTCTACACACAAGTGGCCACTGTCCCTGCACCGCACCCCATACCCTTCTGTCCAACGAACAGAATTGTTCCTGTGAGACTTTGAATCTTTTCACTGAGGAGAATCGGAATTTATTTGTACATGTTTCTCAGTCATAGCAGTACATAGCAGGAGTTGAGGCAGAACTCCTGGCTAAAAGTCCTCCTCTCTTCCTGACTGGCAGTAGAGTAGTGGGATAGTTGTTGGGCTGGAGGGGTGGCGATTGTATTTCATACCATGTGAACGCGTTGTCTGACGGAACTGGCAGCCGTACCTAAATGGAGGGCTGGTCCTCTGTTGTTTGCCTCCTCAGGAGAAGTCCTGGTGTTCCTGGACAGCCACTGTGAAGTAAACGTGATGTGGCTGCAGCCCTTGCTGGCTGCCATCCAGCAGGACCAGCGGACCGTCGTGTGCCCTGTCATCGATATCATCAGTGCAGACACGCTCGCCTACAGCTCGTCCCCTGTCGTGCGGGGAGGTTTCAACTGGGGGCTACACTTCAAGTGGGATCTTGTTCCCCTCTCTGAGCTCGGAGGACCAGCAGGAGCTACTGCACCAATAAAGTGAGGTTTCTCCTCTAGATTTGAAAAATTCCTGTCAGTACTTCTTCAAAAGAGAATCCCTTCTTCGCAGGGAGAAGTGTTGGCTTAATTTGTCCGCTAGAAATTCTTGAATGCTCACTGAATTTTATATGCTGCACCAACTCCTGAGGAAAGATTTGTGAATTCGGAATTACTCATGTCCTCAAGGATGTATCACTTAGAAGGGCAGACAAATAAGAGCAGTATCTTGGGATAATGGTTGCATAGGATACAGTGTTTTTTATGCTGATTATCATGGTTTATTGCTTTTGTCATTTACTTACCTTCAGTTCTTTGCTAGTATGAGTGGTGTTGTGAAGAACATTTGCTGTATGAGCCTTTTCTATAATTAAGGATTTTTAGGATGGATTCCTGCTAGTACAATTACAAGTCACAGTGTAGAAATTATTTTCAGTTCTCATCATACTCTCAATATTACAAATCTGCTTTTATACTATTTATTATTTTTTGTTTTAAATTTCTCATGTGGATTTCAGAGAGGTTTGTCTGTTTCTACTTTTTAACATTCTTGGACCTACAGTTTGTTTTTTTTTTTTTTACTTGTGACAAAATAGCATATATAAAAAGTGCACATAGGTATATATGTATTACGCACACAATAAATGCTTATAATATGAACATCTGTGCAGCTACCACCCAGGTGAGGACACAGCACCCAGATGCCCTCTGTACCCCTGGTCACAGCCCCTGCCCCTAGAGCTGTCATTACCCTGACCTGGTGATCATTTCCTCGCCTTCCTGGAGTTTTACCATCTCTGTGTGCGTCTCTAAACAATATAGTTCAGTTTTGCCTGTTCTTCGACTTGGTATAAAATGAAGCCATTGGACTCATTTTGTCTTGCTGCTTCTACTCAGCATTGCTTTAAAAAATTTATCTCTGTTACAGTGTATGGCTCTACTTTATACAGCAATGAAAGAGGATCATGTTCTATGATATGTTCTTTCTAAACTTACCCAGTTTACTGTTGGAGGGCAGGTTGGGCAGTTTTCACTTGTCTTTTTTTAATGTCACAGATGGCGCTGTTACCAGCACCGTTATTCCCACCTTCTAGTTTAAGAAGAAAACTACCTGGTTGTGGGGCATGCCTCTCTTTACCTTTAGGAGATGATGTTTTCCCAGCACTTCAGGTGGCTCTGCAGTTGGCCTGTGGGGACTTGCCAGCTTCCTTTCATCTGACCCAGACTTGGAGGGGAGACCTCGGCCAGTTCCTGGGGCCTGATGTGCTCTGCTGGCCGAGCGGGGCCATCTTCTGCTCTCTCGGGCTTTGTGCGAGAATCTGTTGCAGCTCCTGCTAAGTTCAGTGTCAAAACCTGACACTCGGAAAAGCAGGGCTGCATCTGGGGACTGTCCGTCTGTGTTTCTGGTCTCCTGTTTGGAGGCAGGCAGTGGTGACTCCATTTTGAACTCCCGGCTGTCCATGGTGTTCTCTGGGACAAGGTAAAGACACACCACACAGGAAGACGGTGCCCCGGCTGCTGCTCGCTCTCCTGCCAGTTCTTGCCTGTTTCACCATCTTCGTGGGCGTTGGTTGTCACCGCTTAATTTTTAATACTTTTAATCACAAACATGTATTCAGTAACAAAATAGTATAGAAGAACTTTGGATGAGGAGTGGCTGACTCCCTCCTTGCTCCCTGTTCTCAGTCCTTCTCCCCAGAGGCTAAATCTTATCACTATTTTTATTTTGGGTCTTCCGTTTATTGCTTTTTTCACTCTAGATGAATAACCTATTCCTCTTTTCAGTGTCAAACTGACTTTAGCTCCTTTCTGTGGGCAAAGTGAAGATTTTGTTCCTCTGTGTCACTGTCTTCTCCTCCCTGGCCCAGTGGTGTAGTGTGCATGTTTCTGTTGGTACTGGGAGATAGCGGCACTCGACGGCTGGGACAGCACCGTCTGACCCTCCTCCTCGTGTGGCGAGCACATTAGTGCCCCTTCCTTCTGCCGCTTTCCCCCACTTTTCTCCCAGTTCTTCTGTGAGTTCTCTCACTTTTAGGATTTCAGGGTTGCTAACTTCTTAAGTTGGATGTTTAGATTTTTAAATTTTTCATCCTTTTTCCTTTCCTAATATAGTTATTGAAGGTGATAAACTTTCTTCTAACCATGGCTTTAGCTGCATCCCACAAATTACTATTTTTTGTGATTTATTTTTTTTAATTTTAAGATTTTATTTATTTGAGAGAAAGAGAGAGCATGAGAGGAGGGAGGGTCCGAGGGAGAAGCAGACTCCTTGCTGAGCAGGGAGCCTGATGCAGACTCGATCCCGGGACTCCAGGATCATGACCTGAGCTGAAGGCAGTCGCTTAACCATCTGAGGTCCTCCACAGAGGACCAGCCCTCCATTTAGGTACGGCTGCCAGTTCCGTCAGACAACGCGTTCACATGGTATGAAATACAATCGCCACCCCTCCAGCCCAACAACTATCCCACTACTCCAGGCGCCCTTTTGTCATTTATTTTAAAATATTTTCATTGTGATGGTTTTTCTTACCCATAGGTTATTTAGCAGTACATTTATTATTCCCCAGGTGTATGAGGATTTTATAATTATGTATTCCTAGCTTTTCACTGTGATCAAAAAATATTCTGTATGATTTCAATTCTTTGAAAATCGGTGAGATTTGCTTTGTGGCCAAGCACATGAGTAATTTTTGTAAATGTTCCTTGTGTGCCTGGAAAATTTGTATTTTCTGTGGTTGTTAAAAAATGGGATTCTATATCAAATCAGTCAAGTTTATTATATTATTCAGATATTCTATATACTTTTGTTAATTCTTTTTTTTTTTTTAAGATTTTATTTATTTGAGAGAGAGAATGAGAGATAGAGAGCACGAGAGGGAAGAGGATCAGAGGGAGAAGCAGACTCCCCGCTGAGCAGGGAGCCCGATGCAGGACTCGATCCCGGGACTCCAGGATCATGACCTGAGCCGAAGGCAGTCGCTTAACCAACTGAGCCACCCAGGCGCCCCTACTTTTGTTAATTCTTTAAAAAAAGCTATGGAAGCATAGTTGACATGTAGTGTTATATTAGTTTCGGGTGCACGACCTAGCAGTTCAGTGGTTCTGTGCATTACACAGTGTGCACTGTGATAAGTGTAATTATACTTCTATCAATTATTAAATATGGTATATTAAAGTTTCTCACTACAATTGTGTATTTGTTTCTCCTTGTAGTTCTTTATCTGTTTTCTTCATATGTTTTGAGGCTGTCTTCTGTCTCCATAGATGTCTGAAAATTTGGAGTTATTAAATTATTAAATCTTATGGTGAATGAAAGCATTCATTCTAGACTTTCAGAAAAGTGAAACTTCTGCATTATAGTGACATTAACACGGGTATTTTAGCTTTGTGGTAATACTTACATCGTGTAACTTTCCTTTTGTTGTCAGTCTCTGTGGCCTTGTATTTCGATGTGTCCCTTGCAAGGAGCATGTAGTTGCTTTTGTATTATGATTTGTTGCTAAACCAGTGTGAAAAACTTCCTTTTTACTCCAGTTGCTTACATGGACTATTACTTGTATTTTGTGCTTACGGTTACAGCGGCACCGTGTTCTTTTTTTCCCCTGCCTCTCTTGCTTTCTTTTGGTCTTGAGTTTGCATTTTTTATTATTCTGTTCCCAGCTGCCACCCCATTATTAGATGTTCTTAATATTGTTCTTGTAGGGATTACCATAGAGAATACAGCGTACATTCTTGCAACATAATTTGGTACTTCAAACAATGCAGGGATCTGAGAATGTTCATTCTCCAGTTTATCTCCCCTCAGTTTATATTGTTGAAGTGTGTGTGTTTTAACCCTACAAGACATTTTTTATGTGGCCATTATTCATCTAGGTTTACCCACATACATCCCCTTTTATTTTACTCTTTATTCTCTCTGCATCTGCAAACTTCTATATGGGATTATTTTCATTCTGACTAAAGAAGACATTTTAAATGTATTTCCTTTGGCTGGACCTTCTGGTGATTACTTCTCTCTGGCTTTTTGTAAAAATGTCTTCCTTTCACGATTACTTTGAAGTATAATTTTACTTGATACCCATTTCTACGTTGGTGGGTAGATTCTTGGGACTTGGAAGGTAATCATTCAAGAACCACTGGCTTGCACTGTTTGTGGTGAGAAGCCAGCAATACTCTTTTATTTTTGAAGGCAGCCTCTCATTGGCTGCTTGAATTTCTTCTCTTTGTCAGAAGGGTTTTTCAGATATGCATAAATTTGGTTTCTTTTTTGATCATATCTATCTATCTGCCAAATTTTGCATCTTTTATCCTTGCATATATTGAGCAGTTATTTTAAAGTCTGTGCCTGATAACTACATTATTTGAAACCCCTGCACATCTGTTTCTCTTGTAGATTGTTTCTCTTGTTTTTCTTTCATGTGCTTTATCTTCCTGGTTGCCTGGTTATTTATTTGTTTAGTTGCTTACTTACTTTTGTTTGGTGGCAGACACTATCATGAAAAATTATGGAAATACGTTCATACCTGAGATGGTGTTTTCTCCCTGCAGAGAAGTTTTGCTTCACTTCTAGCAGGGAGCTTGGGACGCTGAAATCTACCATCACTTTAACTCAGTTTCAGGAAGTGAGACAGCTGGAAGCTGAGCTTGTGTCTCTTTGAGGGCCAGTCTCCTTCATATTCTCTCATTAACAGTCTCAGTCTTAGCAGTATTGACATTTTGGGCCAGATACTTCTCTGTTGTGGGTGCTGTCTTGTGCATTTTAGAATATGTAGTAGCGTGCTTGGCTTTAGCCCATCAGTTGCTGGTAGAACTCCCTCCACCCCCATTTTGACACCTAAAAATGTTTCCGGACATTAATGAAATGTTTGCTTGGGGACAAAATCATCCTGTTTGAGAGCCACTGGTGTAAGTCAAAGTTTGTCTGGTCTCCCCTTGGTAGGCTCTGGAGTCCAGTTTTTATCTCACTGTTCTGTGAGACTATCAAAAGGAATTAATTCATATCTCTATTTCTAAGAACAGTGTTATAATTTAAAAAGTACTTTTGATGCTTAGAAAAGTAGCCTTCGTTTGCCAGATATCTAGTATATCATTGGCAATCTAGAAAATTCAGTTATGTGGCCCAGCTCATTCCCTGATGTTAGATAAAATGTTTCATAATAGTTAATCTGGTTTTCATTAGTGATGTTACAAAGGTGCACTGAATTTTTTTTTAAAACAAAGATGGTAGATAATTGGCTGTGTAGAATTGGTACAGTAATTATTTCCTTTTCTAGGTCACCTACAATGGCTGGAGGGTTGTTTGCCATGAACAGACACTATTTCAATGAACTTGGACAGTATGACAGTGGCATGGATATCTGGGGAGGAGAAAATTTAGAAATATCATTTCGGGTAATTTTTTCATCTTTAACTGTGTAGTAGAATATAATTTTCATCTACAATCTCATATTTTCTGTCAATTCTCTTTGATTATCTTTGTTAACAAATTGTCCTTAATGAATGCTACTTTATCATAATCTGTGATGTGGATAATACCCATTCAAAGTGTGGAAAGTATTTAAGCAGCTTTATTTTATAAGAATTTAAAAAGGAAGGTTGTAATGAATGGTTGGGTATAATTTCAGCTGTCTAAACGTGTATTTATTTTTTTAAGTTTTTTTTTTTTTTTTTTTTTATTTGACAGAGACACAGTGAGAGAGGGAACACAAGCAGGGGGAGTGGGAGAGGGAAAAGCAGGGAGCCCAATGCAGGGCTTGATCCCAGGGCACTGGGATCATGACCTGAGCCGAAGGCAGATGCTTAACGACTGAGCCACCCAGGCGCCCCTAAGCGTGCATTTAATCTAGTTTTGTTCTTTGTCAGTTTATTAATCTTATTTGTTAACCCTAGACACGTATATTTAGGGTGATCGGATTTCCCTGATTGCTCAAGACCATCCTGGTTCACACCTGTTCTCCCAGGAAAATTATTAATAGTTCCCCATCCCACTTTCAGAAGTAGCTAGCAGAATCCTTTACATATACAAGTCCGTCCAACCTGAGGAAGGAATTAATCTTTCGTAATTGGGTCTCCTCTCCAGCTGCAAAAGTTGGAAAGATGGTGGTATAGGTGGGGTCTGGGACTCCGGGAACTGGGGGTTGGAGGACAGTTTTTGCCAAGGGCAGAGCGAGGGCCAGGGAAAGAACACGGACCTCTGCATACTAGCAGATGTCCTCACTCTCCACTTCCCAGCTCCTGGGCTGCACAGCAGAACCCCCACAATACCACAGTATGTTGTGCATGTGTCATTTTGTATTTTTGCAGTGTATTGACCACAGTGTTTTTAAAAGGTAGTTTTTCCTACATAATCTTCAGAATTTTAAAGTTGAAAGAAATAATAGATATCGTTAGTTCAGTCTTATTTTGGACATAAGGTAATGGTGTCCCACAAAAACTAAAATAACCATATAAAGTAACCCAGATGGCCAAGGGCAAAATTTAGATGAGAACTAAGATCTTTTGAATCTTAATAGAATTATTCAGTATATTTCATTATTCCTGTATATGTACATGTTATAAGAAAGTACCAGGAAATAATGAGATTAGATAATAATAAATGAGATTAGAAGACCAGCCAGTAAGCATTCTTTGTCCTTAAGTCCTGAGGATCAAGTTCCTTGATCTGTTAAAACAGCAAAGTACGTGGTAAGTGCAATTTTAGACACAGAGTAGTAAAAGAATATTACACTTTTTTAGAATTTTGTTTCTTTTGAATCATAAAGACAATTTTTTTTATAATGTACCCTTTGACTTTCTTGTTTTTGATAGTTATACAAAACATCTTGCAAAGTCGCATAAGCACCTATTTAATAAAGATTAATTTCAAGAAAACACATACATTGATTTCATCACAGTGCGAGGCAACTATTAATACATATTTTGCTCCTGACCAGATTTGGATGTGTGGAGGTAAACTCTTCATCATCCCTTGCTCTAGAGTTGGACACATTTTCCGAAAAAGGCGACCGTATGGTTCTCCTGAAGGCCAGGACACCATGACCCACAACTCCCTGAGGCTGGCACATGTTTGGTTGGATGAATATAAGGTGAGATTCAGTTATTGTGGTGGAAGGGGCCGCTGGGCTGTTGCTTCTTCGCAGACGGCTCTGCTTACCCGTCTTTTCACTCCGGCATGTGTCTGTGGGACGACCATCCCTTTCTACATTTCTTTTTCCTCTCATTTTTTGTTGTGACCCTTTTAATTTTCCAAGTGACCACTCTATAAGAGGAAATACAGCTATCATCAGAAGAAATTCTCTTTTCAGTGTCTTTGTTCCCCTGACTCCCACAGAACGTGGCTCCTTTTCTTTGCTCCTGAGCTTCGCTGTGTCCCAGTCTCACCACTTGCCCTGTTCAGTCTGCACGTGTGGTGGTCCTTCCCACTTTCCCTTCTGCTGTGATGCTTCCGTTGTAACATCTTTATTGAGGTATAATTCACAAGTCATTTTATCACCCCAAAAAGAAACTGCATATCCTTTTAACCATCACCCCCTAATCTCCTGCAGCCCTAGACAACTACCAGTCTACCTCCTGAGACTCTAGATTTGCCTGTTCTGGACATTTCCTACAAACGGAATCCTACAATACATGGTCTTTTGTGACCACCTTAGTAAGCGTGATGTTTTCAGGCTCATCCATATTGTACCATGTAGTGTTACTTCATTCTTTTTTATTGCCAAATAATATTCCATTGTGTGAATACACATTGTGTCCATTCATGAGTTATGAGAAATGCTGCTGTGAACATTTGTGCACAATTTTTTTAAACGAGCGTTTGAATATCTCCTATACACCAGGCTCTGTGTTGGGATTTGGGAGAGTCAGAGATGACTGAGGGAATGCAGTGACTTCACACTGTGCAGCACGGGGCGTGGAGGTGTGTGCCGTGTACTGTGGGGAGAACATCACTCTTGGGGGCTTTGGTCACGCCCCTGGCACACTGCAGATCTCCTCCCTTCTCCCTCTTCTAGACTCCGAGTTCGTTCTCCATGTTCCTCAGCTTTGAGTCACACTATCTCCCAGCAGCTCTCAGAAAGTGGTTCACAGGCCCACGTAAATCCTGGCCACCCTTTCAGGAGGTTTGCCAGGGCATAGCTGTTTTCATAGCCGGATAATACAGTATTTGCCATTTTCTCCATGTTGACTTTGCACTGATGCTGCAAAAGCAGCTGAGTAGTAGAAATAATTGTGTTAAATCTTGATGTGCCCCGAGTGCCTTGAGGCACGCTAAGTGTGCAGAAAGCACCTTTTGCTGTAGACCGAAATACAGTGCTCGTTTCAGGGGAAGATGTGTGCAGTTGTGTGAGTTGTGAGCTGAACTAGTCACTTTTCTCCATGGAACACTTTTTATGTAAAAGAATGGCTCACAAACCATGGTTATTTTTATTTGGATATTTGGCAGACATTCTCAAAAATGAACTAATAACTTAGCCTCTCACTTCAACTGTGATAGCATTTGTTGTAAGCAGAAAACTTGTATCCATCCCTGTGAGCCTGATGTCTTCCAGTACTTAAATGCTTATTTGATGAGAGTAGGAATATTTATGAATATAACTTTTTATATTATATAATGACATTTGTCAGTATTTGGAACTTCACAACCCAGGGAGCAGTGTTTTCCAAATGACTAATGCATGATGGTATACAAATCTTGGATGGGTGAAAAATCCATTCAAAGAGCAGGATAGAGCAGTAGATTTTAATGCAACGGTACAAAAAGCTCAGTGATGTAAAGGTTAGTTACATTGTGGAATATGAAAAGTTAGAGTTTTGGTAAAATCCCAAAAAAAGAGGGGCGCTTGGGTGGCTCAGTCGTTTAAGCATCTGCCTTCGGCTCAGGTCATGATTCCAGGGTCCTGGGATCCAGCCCCGCATTGGGCTCCCTGCTCAGCGTGGAGTCTGCTTCTCCCTCTGCCTGCCGCTCCCCCTGCTCGTGCTCTGTCAAATAAATAATAAAATCTTAAAGGAATATATCAAAAAAGAATAGCCGTAATTCTCAAACTGCTACTAAAATATTCCTTCCAAAAAAAATTCCATTTTAAACTATATATTTTCATACACTCATATTTTTAAAAATATATTTAACCAGACAACATGACAGTAACAGGTTGAATGCAGAAATGAAAATTCAGCTGACTTCTTCTTAGCCAGACTCTGCACGTGTAAAGCTATAAAACTGTGAAGCAGTGTCACTATTCTCACTACATTTTTTGTTGTTGTTCAAAGCACGTTTATGTTGATAGGTAATGAGTTATTTTTAACGAATTAACAAATGTTTTAACTTTTCATATGGTAAATACCAGTAGATACAACTCACACAAACAGAAGCTCCTTGGAGTCTTTGTCTTTTAAGATTCCAGAGTCCTGACGGAGTCTGAGAACTGCCAGCCTCACGCGTCACCTGCCTCATCAAGTCTGAGATCATGTTTTACATGTTTGCCATTTCTGAAATTGGGGTGTATCTTAGAATTTATGATGTCTTACTGTCAGTGATGGACCTAACTGTGTGAAAACTTTATGTTGACATTTTTTGGCAAAATCAAAACACTGTCATGAAAAATATTTTTGCTGATAATCCCTTTTTTTTTCAGTTCTTTAAATGTCAGGTATAATTGGTAATACCCATTTTAAACAAAAAAGCTATTCTCTTATTTTTCATTTCTGTTTTTAAAATTCAGGAGCAGTATTTTTCCTTAAGACCTGATCTGAGGACCAAAAGCTATGGAAATATCAGTGAGCGTGTTGAATTGAGGAAGAAGTTGGGTTGTAAATCATTTAAATGGTATCTGGATAATATTTACCCAGAGATGCAGATATCTGGGCCCAACGCCAAACCCCAGCAACCCATTTTTATCAATAGAGGGCCAAAACGCCCCAAAGTCCTTCAGCGTGGAAGGGTAAGGAAGTAATATCATCAGAGTGTTTGATTAAAAGTTGTATGATATAATAAATGACAGTTTAGACTTCAAGTATCCTTTTAGTGATAGACTTTAGCTTGCTTCCGTTGTATTCTTTTGGTGGGACCTTCCTCCACTCAGGACCTTAGAAATGTTAATATCAACGTCCTTCACCTGCAGCTGTACAGAGTGCGTGACTGCTGTAAGTTTGTGCTAGCTTCCAAGAAGATGGGCATAAACGTGAGCAGACCGTCAAAGGCACTGTGAGTTTAAAACTCGTTTGGCAGAGACCAGTCCCAAAAGGAAAACAAAAGGAGAAATGGGGCCGCTCTCTGCTGTTGGGCCGAAGCCCTGGAACCAACTCCAGACAGCGGGTGAACGATGTGGCGGCACGGCCTCCCGGCTCCAGCCGCTGGGCGAGTGCTCACATTTCTGTAGATGCTCCCTTTTGTTTCTGAAGGAGTTTCTTCACAGTTCTGTATCATGTTTAAATTTTAGGGGTCTAGTCATAAAGTCATACCTTTTTCCTGAATCATTTCTTAGAATTGCTTTCTGAAAGTGTACTCTGATTGTTGCCCAGTTTTCTTTTGTGTTAAGAAGTTACTCCTTAGTATCGCTCATGGCGCCATCTGTCCCTCCATGATTGCTCACTAGAGCTTTCCCCTTCCTCTTACGAAATTGAAAACAAAGTCAAGGTGTTCTCTTTTTAAGGAAAAATGCGTATCAGGGTTTGTCCATATAGTGGAAATTCTTTCCATTATTCTTGCCTCGTACATCTAAGCCCCTCTAACACTCACAGTAATCCTTTACCCAAACTACAGACACTCTGTTGCTTTTCTGTGTCACCTTTGCAGTTCTTGTTCTGTGTTTATCTCAGTTTAGCATGTACATTACATTCGGTTATGTACTGTCTGGTTTGTACCTTTTATTATTTCCTCTTTTTCATTTTAAGGTTCTTTAGGGCAGAGATGCTTTAATTTCCTTTCTCCCCTATAGTAGAATTAGTAAACCTATGTCTTTAGGTAGAATTTCTACCGGACACTGCTTGCATGTATTGTTAAAATTGCCTATAACCTTGAAGTGTCTTGTGATACCCTTATGTACTGAAGCTAGAATTTAGGAATTTAAAAAATGCTTATACTTTTATGACCCTTGAAATTCATAACTTTGGGGCTGTATTTTCACATCTAGCATTCTAAGGTGTCTTCTGACAAGTGCAATCTCTCCTTTTACAGCTCTATCACCTCCAGACCAACAAGTGTCTGGTGGCCCAGGGCCGCCCAAGTCAAAAAGGAGGCCTGGTGGTGCTTAAAGCATGTGACTACAGTGACCCAAGTCAGGTGAGTCAAGTCTCTGGCTCAACCAGTCCTTGGAAAGTGTCCTTCAGTAAAGGGAACTTGCTGGCGGTCCCTGAGGAGGGGACTGGAGGGGACCCTGAAGATTTTAATCTGACTTTCCTTAGATGATCTGGTTTAAGTTGGGAATGACTTTAGAGATCATGCAATACAACTATTTTTGTCTCCTTTGTATATTTTTCCTCCCTTTGCTATTTGTTAGAAGTACATGGAAAGCCTGAAAGCTCCGTGAAGGTTAGAAGTGGCAGAGGAAGTTCCCCGTCCTTCTGGGCAAGCACATTAGCTCTGCGAGAGATGAATTAATATCTTCTGTAGAGTTTTCTCTGAAACCATATTGCTCTGAATTTTAGTAGTCCCATCAGAAGAAACCACAACAAAATATCAGTTCATTTCATTCACAGAATCTTTTCAGTGGTGTTAAAGTAGACCTAAAAATAAGCAAAAAACTTACGTGAGTTTGGAACTGTAACTTCAAACTGACTCGTATCTGATCATGGCAGTCTAGTCCCCTAGTTGTAGAACCTGACGCCTCTGCGGTGCTGAACACGTGTCACAGGAAGGTGATTTTCATTCCTACTTGAGTGCTGGGGATGGTGTCACTCAAGATTAAAAAGGATAGGCGCCTGGGTGGCTCAGTCATTAAGCGTCTGCCTTCGGCTCAGGTCATGATCCCAGGGTCCTGGGATCGAGCCCCACATCGGGCTCCCTGCTCGGCGGGAAGCCTGCTTCTCCCTCTCCCGCTCCCCTGCTTGTGCTCCTGCTCTCGCTGGGTCTCTCTCTGTCAAATAAATAAATAAAATCTTTAAAAAAAAAAAAAAGATTAAAAAGGATAGATCGCGTGTGTCCTCTGAAATTTCATAGAAGACCTTTTATTTCTAGGGGGCTTGCAAAGGATGGAAGATGTTGTCCACACCGGAAACTAGGATCTAAAAGGGGTTTTGTGCTGTGTCTGGGTCTGAGAGGTATCGGCCTGTGGACCCTCTTAGCGACGCTTTGGTGGCTTTAGTGACGTGGGACGAGACGGCTGAGATTGGTCCCAGAAAATGGGAGGAATTTGAGAAGATGGAATCATACTCCTGCTTGTTGGGATCATACAGATTTGTACTGATACTATAACCACCAGCCACCTGGAGCTCTTCACATTTAATTACAATGAAATCAGTTAACTATTTTCCTCAGTCATGCTGGCCACATGTGGCTCCCATGTTGGACAACATAGGTTGTAAAACAGCATTGTTGCGGAAAGTTCTGTTTATAGAACTCTTCATGTTAATGAAGGTGGCACACATACATTTTGGGCCTGGGGGTAGAAATACTAATGAGTGAAATAATTCGGAGACAAAAGTGTATTCCTTGTGGATTTAGTGAGGGTGCAGTTTGGAAAATAAGTTATTCCTCACACTTGTCCAGTTCAGCCAATTTTAGGCCTTTGTTCCTGAAAATAATCTGAGAGACCACAGAGAAGACTATCCTCAAAGATCTGCACATCTAAAGAAAACCCTGCTTCCGGGCCCTCCAATGAAATCATCATCTCAGCCCAAATGGTGTTGTGATCTCAGATTAGAGTAGAACTTGCCCCAGGATGATGTGACATAGCAGCCCCCCCCCCCCCATAGCACTGCCCAGCAGGGGAGGAACATCTGAGAGTAAGCGCCTGTGTGCTTCTGTCCGCAGGCCCGGGGGGCACCTCTGGGGCTGTGCCGTCCAGGGATGGGCCCCGGGGATGGCGAGCGCTGTGCGATTGTGAAGTCCTAGAATTGGAAAAGGTCTCCAGTCATGTGCTCGGTTAATTCAGTCCGTTGGGTTAAATTCAGTGAACAAAAGTTAACACTGATTCGGTTTCTTCCTGGGATTACACTTCATTTTCCTGTGTTTGGTTCCTTCCATTTTCAGATAACTGCACTGATGCTGCCTGCATGTGACTCAGGTTTGTTGGTCTTTTCCTGTTCTGAGGCCACCTAGAATAACCCCATTCTTCTTCCACAGATACGTGACCTGGGGTGCAGTCTGAACTCCAAAATCTAAAGTGGACCTTGGAGTTTTGATCTTTGATTTTCTTCCTTAGATTTGGATTTATAATGAAGAACACGAGTTGGTTTTAAATAACCTCCTTTGCCTGGATATGTCAGAAACTCGCTCGTCAGACCCACCACGACTCATGAAGTGCCACGGGTCAGGAGGATCCCAGCAGTGGACCTTCGGGGTGAGGAGCTTGCTAGTGAGGATGGGAGTGTGTGAGGAGGCAGGCAGGGCTAAGGGTGGAGCATGGCAGATGCACTCCTAGTTTACCTTGTAGAAAGTAGTTCTGAGTTTATAGTATCCCTTAGGTAAGTAAAGCATCTGAGATATTCCACACCTCTTCTGGATTTCTGTATCCTCTCTACCACATTCTGGCAGCAAGGTTTTTAAGTTGAAGCAATTAACTGGTGGTATATTTTTCTTGCTACGTTTTTTCCAGAAGAGTAATCGGCTGTACCAGGTGTCAGTTGGACAGTGCCTGAGAGTGGTCGATCCACTGAGTCACAAAGGCTATGTTGCGATGGCAATCTGTGATGGCTCTTCCTCACAACAGTGGCATCTGGAAGGTTAAAGTGGACGCTGTGGCTGGCATGGTAACTCATCAGTGTTTGCCTCCTCTGTAAGGTGTGAGGCTTGAGAAGTTGCTGGTACAAGAAAATCCCTGACTGATATCCTGATTAAGTAGAACCATTTTTGAGAGGATGAGACAGCAGATATACTAGAGACTGGAACACAGAGTGATCATCAGAGAGTGAGGGAATCTGTTCTACCAAGACATTAACATCATTTCTGAGCTGCTAAGGAATTTCTTGCTTATGGTGAGAAACTAGAATACAATTTTAACTCTATAAAGGGTCAGGTTTGCACAGAAGGACAAACCCAGGAAATTGACATTTCTGTTCAAACTTATTTATGCTTTTTAATCCTTTTAATAATGGAATGGCATTTGTCTGATCAGGAACTTGTCATGATTTCCTTTTTTAGGAGGACTGCATAGGAAACAATTTTTTTTTACTTCTATTATCATGTCCTAAATAATTTTAAACAAACTGAATCCACATTACTTTTAACTTCAGAAGGCCTCATTTATAAGATTATATATTTAAGAGGCAGTTAACTATTATAAATTATTTTGATGAATTATAGTACTATGGACATTTAAAATAAAGGGTCCTTTTGATGACTTACGTGGGACTTTTGGTCTGCTCCTGTTTTGGGGTTTCTGATCTGTGTTGCGCTGTGTATATCATATAGTGAGCAGGATACCTGCGTTCAGCTAATGAGCCAATAAGCTAGGTCACAGCACCATTCCTTAGCTTGAACTTTGTGAATTTGATGCTGACAGTCTGTGAATTTGGATAGTTTCTACTAAAGCTGCCTATGAATCATCCAGGTAGAATAGGCATTTGGTATAGAGGTCAGGATCCCAGAACATAGATCTCAGAAATACAAATTTAGATTACTCAGTTTCACTGCTGGTAATTGGTCTGTTCAAATTTTCTATTCCTGCTTCAGTTTTGGTATGTTATATGTTTCTAGGAATTTATCCATTTCTTCTAAGATGTCAAATGTATTGGCATATCATATAGGTTTTCATAATCTGTTACAGTTGTATTTCTGTGGTATTGGTTATTTCTCCTCTCTCATTAGTGACTTTGTTAATTTGGGTCCTTTTTTTTTTTTTAATGAGTGTGACTAGAGAATGATAATTTTATTCATCTTTCCAAAGAACCAGTTCCTGGTTTCACTGAGCTGTTCTATTGTTTTTTTGTTTTTTTTTTTTTAGTTTCCACATCCTTTATTTCTGCTCTGATCTTTATTATATTTCCTTCCTTTTGCTGGGTTTGGGTTTTGTTTGTTCTTTTTCTATTTCCTTTAGGTGTAAGGTTAGGTGGTTTATTTGAGATTTTTCTTGCCTCTTGAGGTAGGCTAGTATTACTATATACTTCCCTCTGAGAAGCACTTTTGCTGCATTCCCAAAATTTTGGACTGTTGTATTTTCATGTTCATTTGCTTCCATGTAATTTCTTCTTTGATTTCTTGGTTGACCCATTCATTTCTTTAGTAGCATGTTATTTAGCCTTCATGTATTTGAATTAACCTCCATGAAATTGAATCTGTAATCAAAAAAACTCCCAAAAAGCAAAAGTCCAAGATGAGATAGCTTCACAGGCAAATTCTACCAAACATTTAAAGAATTAATACCTATTCTCAAACTTTTATTCCAGAAAATAGAAGAGGAAGGAAAACTACCAAATTCATTCTATGAGGCCAGTGTCACTGTGATACCAAAACCAGATAAAGACACCACAGAAAGAGAACTACAAGCCAATATCTCTGATAAATATAGATGCAAAAATTCCTCAACAAAATATTAGCAAACCAAACCCAACAATACACTGAAAAATCATACACCAGGATCAAGTGGGATTTATTCCTGAGATGCAAGGCGTTCAGTATTTACAAAACAACATGATACATCACATCAGTAAGAGAAAGGATAAAAATCATATGATCATTTCAATAGATGCAGAAAACAGCATTTGACAAAGTACAGCATCCATTCATGATATAAACCCTCAACAGAGTAGGTCTAGAGGGAACATACCGTAACATAATAAAGACCTTATATGAAAAATCCAGAGCTAACATCATATTCAGAGGTGAAAAACAGAGCTTTTCCCCTAAGGTCAGAAACAAGACAAGGATGTCAACTCTCACCACTTTTATTCAACATTATTCAACTGGAAGTCCTAGCCACAGCAGTTAGGCAACAAAGAAATAAAAGGCATCCAAATTGGTGAGGAAAAGCAAAACTCTTATTTGCAGATGACATGATACTATCTATATACAGGACACCCAAAAGACCACCAAAAAACCACTAGAACTGATAAATGAATTCAGTAAAGTCACAGGATACAAAGTCAATGTATAGAAACCTGTTGCATTCCTATACACTAATAATGAAGCAGCAAAAAGTGAAATTAAAATCCCATTTATAATTGCAGCCAAAACAATATTTAGTAACACACTTAACCAAAGAGGTGAAAGACCCGTACTCTGAAAATTATAAAATATTGATGAAAGAAATTCAAGATGACCCAAAGAAGTGGAAAGACATCCCATATTTATGGATTGGAAGAACAAATATTGTTAAAATGTCTGTACTACCTAAAGCAGTCTACAGATTTAATGCAATCCCTATCAAAATAACAAAAGCATTTTTCACAAAACTAGAACAGTCCTAAAATTTGTATGGAACTCTACAAGACCCCAAATAGCCAAAGCAGTCTTGAAAAAGAAAAAACTGGAGGTATCACAATTCCAGATTTCAAGTTCTATTACAAAGTGGTAGTAATTAAAACAATATGATACATAAAAATAGATCAATGGAATAGAATAGAAAATGCAGAGGTAAACCTACAATTAATCTTCAACAAAGAAGGAATAAAGAAATAAATACAACAATGGAAAAAGTCTCTTCAACAAATGTGGTTGGGAAAACTGGTCAGCTACAGGCAAAAGAATGAAACTAGACCAGTTTCTTTCACAATAAAACAAAAATAAAGTCATAGTGGATTAAAGACCTAAATGTGAGACCTAAAACCATAAAAATCCTTGGAAGAAAGCACAGACAGTAATTTCCCTGACATTGGTTATAGTAACATTTTTGTAGGTACAGTCTCCTGAGGCAAGGGAATTAAAAGTAAAAATAAATTATTGGGAGTACATCAAAAGGTTTCTACACAGTGAAAGAAATAATAAAACTAAAAAGCAACTTACTGATGGGAGAAGATATTTGCAAATGACATATCCGATAAAGGGTTAGTATCCAAAATATATAAAAAACACAAGTCAGCATCCAAAAAACAATCCAATTAAAAATGGGTAGAAGACTCAGACACTCTTCCAAAGAAGACATCTAGATGGCCAACAGACACATTAAAAGATGCTCAACATCACTCATCATCAAGGAAATGCAAATCAAAACTGCAATGAGATATCACTTCACACCTGTCAGAATAGCTAATACCCAAAACACAAGAAACAACAAATGTTGGTGAAGATATGCTCTTGAACTGTTGGTTGGAATGCAAACTGGTGCAGCAACTGTGAAAAACTGTATGGAGGTTCCTCAGAAAATTAAAAATAAAACTACCCTCTGATCCAGTAATTGCACTGACAAAAAATATATAAAAACACTAATTCAAAGGGATACGTGGACCCCTATGTTTATTGCATCATTATTTACAATTGCCAAACCATGGAAGCAGCCCAAGTGTCCACCAATAGGTGAATAAAGATGTGTGTATGTATATACCAAAATTTATATGTACACGCACACAATGAAATATTACTCATTCATAAAAAAGAAAATCTTGCCATTTGCAACAGCATATAGAGCCAGAGAATATAATGCTAAGTGAAATGTCAAATACCATATGATCTTAATAACTCAAGTTGAATTTAAAAACAAATGAGCAAAGGCAAAAGACAAACCAAGAAGCAGACTTTTTTTTTTTTTTAAGATTTTTTAAATTTATTTATTTGACAGAGTGAGAGAGCACAAGCAGGGGGAACAGTAGAGGGAGAGGGAGAAGCAGGCTCCCCGCCAAGCAGGGAGCCCGATGCGGGGCTCGATCCCAGGACCCTGGGACCATGACCTGAGCCGAAGGCAGACGCTTAACCATCTGAGCCACCCAGGCGCCCCAAGAAGCAGACTCTTAATACAGACAACAAACTTAATACAGACAAACAAACCAGAGGGAAGGTGGGTGGGGCGATGGCTGAAATAGGTGGTGATGACAAGGATTAAAGAGTACATTTACCATAACGAAAAAAAGAAATAGAAATTTAGGAATCTTTTCATACTGCAGATGTCCAAATATAGTGGGAGGTTTTTTCCACCAAAATTGCCTCTCAGAGGAGACGCAGTCTATATAGAGTCCTTTTCAGTTATTTTATCTTAAACCACAAAGCACCATATTAGAAACATGTTGGAGAATAATATATTCTATATATTTTTTGTCATTCAACTTCAAAGACCAGATGGTACATACAGAAAGCAGCAAGGTGGCATTTAAAGATTTTATTTATTTGAGACTGCACAAGCAGTGGGGCAGTGGGGGCAGAGGTAGAGGGAGAAGCAGACTCTCTGCTGAGCCTGATGTGGGGCTCAATCCCAGGATTCTGGGCTCATGACCTGAGCTGAAGGCAGATGCTTAACCAACTGAGCCACCCAGGTGCCCCAAGAAACTCCCTTTAAATATGAAGGCATAAATACGGTAAAATATATGCACGTGGGACACTAATTGAAAGACATCTGAGGTAGCTGTATTAATATTACACAAAGAAGATTTCAAAGCAAAGAACATTACTAGAGATGGAAAGGGTTGTTTCCTAGTGATAAAGGAGTCTATTAATTAAGAGGAAATAGTCCCAATGTTAACGCTAATACCTAATAGAACTTCAAAGTACTTGCCACAAAAATCGATTGAACTGCCAGTAAAGACATAATCTACAACTATAGTAAGATTCCAACACACCTCTCAATAATTGAGGAAATAAGTAGAAAAAAAATTAGGATATAGAAGACTTTACTATCTACCAATTTGACACAACAGTTATGGAACATTCTACTTAACACCAGACAGAATATGCCTTCTTTTCAATTAAACATGAAACATCTACCAAGATAGGTCATGTCCTGGGATATTAAGTCTCAGTAAATTTATACAAATCCAACTTGTGCAAATTATATTAGAAACCAACAATAATATAAGTAACATACCTGGAAAATCTTCAAATATTTGAAAATCTACCAATAACACACTTCCCAATATCCTGTGGGTCAAAGAAGTTACAAAGCTGTTTTGAACTAACAGAAAATGAAAATACAACCTACCAAAGACTGAAGGATGCAGCTAATGCAGTACTTGAAAATTTTATAGCACAAGCACCTATATAAGGAAAGATAAAAGCTTAAAATCAATGACTTAAGCTTCCACCTTAAGAAAATAGAAAAAGAGCTAAAGTTAGAGCAAAGAAACAGAAGAAATATTAAATGTCAGAACACAAATGAAATAGAAAACAAAAATAATGGAAAAAAATTAAAGCTGGATTAAGAACATCATTGAAATGAAACAAATGGAAAGATACTCCATGCTTGTGGATTAGAAGAATATTATTAAACCATCCATACTACTCAAAGCAATCTGTAGATTCAATGCAGTCCTTATCAAAATACCAGTAGCACTTTTTACAGAACTAGAATATCAAAATTTATATGGAACCAGAAAGACCCTAAAAAGCTAAGGATTTTTGAGACCAACACTGAAGGTATCACAATCCCAGATTTCAAGACGCATTACAAAGCTGTAATAATCAAAACAGTGTGGTTATGGCACAAAAATAAACATACAGATCAATGGAACAATAAAAGAGCCCATAAATAAACCCATATTTATGTGGCCAATTAATCTACAACAAAGACAAGAATATACA